AATTCAACAGGACAACAATGATGAGCCTACCAAGAAGATCGTGCAGCCCTGGGTCCTTTGCATGGGACAAGAGAGTCTAATTAGCCACAGCCCCTTCCTCCTCAAGGCATGGCACTGGGGTTTTTGTTTTATTTTGTCTTGGGGAGGTGATTCCTAGCACCATACTCCACCACTGAGGTCCTCAGGGGTCAGTAGGGAACCAGGTATAGGCCTTTGTGTCACAAGTTTTACCATCAAAAGTTGGAGACCCAGGAGTACAGAAAAAGAGGGATAGGAAATAAAATGTCAGAGGTGTGGGAAAAAAGATGGAGGATAGGGAACCAAGAGAAGAATGGGAAGGGATGGTGATAGGAGGAGAAGGCAGGAGGTTATGAGTAGAAGTCTGAAAAACTGCCCCAGGGAATCCCTCCTGGGAACTCAAAGGGTAGTAAGTTTAGGGGGGTTCTGTACAAATTACAGAAACCATTTCCTCCATGCTTACCCCTTCATACCCCCAGCCAGGCCAAATCAGCTGTTAAGAGGGACATTTTTGGTCCTTTCCCACTCTCTATTCATTTTTTAATTTCACCCACAAACCCCTTTGAGAAGATCAAGAGACCAACCCCAATATTGCCCAACCCATCTGAACACTACCTACCATCTTTTTTCTCTGACTTGTTAAGGAGAGATGTTGGGTGGAAAATTCCATCCTCATATCAGGCATTCACTTCACTCATTAAAACAGAATCCTTGGGCTGGGGCTATAGCTCAGTGGGAGAGCCCTCGCCTACTAAATCCTACCCCTGAGTTAGATCCCTAGCAGTGTGCTAAAAAAATAAAATAAAATAATTTAAAAATAAAAAATTCTTTCTATCATTTCTCAGACACAACTCAATGTTATGGTTAGAGAAATATAAATTTATTTTTTAAATATCCCTGAATTCATCAGACATTTGGTCGTTGTCTAGCACTGTGGTTCCCAAATTAAAGCATGCATCGGAATCACCTAGCATGCGTGAGGCTCTGGGTTCGATTCTCAGCACCACACAAAAATAAAATAAAGATATTGTGTCCAACTAAAAAATAAATAAATAAAAAAAGTTCCCACATGATGCTGATCCTGCTAATTGTCAAAAATCCAACTACTTAGCTGGGTGCAGTGACGAGCACTCATAATCACAGCTATTCAGAAGGCTGAGGCAGGAGGATTGCAAGTTCCAGGCCAGTCTGGGCAACTTATTTGCTCAAACTCTCAACCAATTTTTCTATCTATATCCTTTCTTCAAACATGTCTAGACAATATTTCATAGAGAATATAGATGAAAGTATTATCAAGGATAACATAGAAATGATAAAACCTTGTGTTGTTTTTCTAAATTTTTTTTTGTGCATGTATTTTGTTTGACTAATGCTATAGTCTGTATTTTAAATGTCCCTCAAAGGCCCATATATTAAAGCCTCAGTCTTAGCCCATGGCAGAACATTTAGGATGTAGAACCTACTGGAAGGAAGTCAGATCACTGTAGTATGCCTTTGAAGGGAGCACTGGGACCCTGGTCCCTTTCTCTCTCTTTGCTTCCTAGTTTCAATGAAGTGAACAGGCCTCCTTTGCCATACTCCTTCCATAATATACTGTGCTAGCCCAGGACTCAGCAACCATGCTGAAACAATGAGCCAAAATAACTTCTCTTCCCTATAAGTTGATTATCTCAAGTATTTTGTCACAGTAACAGAAAGTTAACACAACTATGTAAGCTGAAAAGAAATAAAAATATGTGTTGGAGTGGTAGGGAGAGGAAGGTAGGATGGAGCCCCACTGGTGCTGGTACTGAGTGCCCAGAGCTGGGGATAAGTGCAGTCACCTTAACACAGCACAAGTGTGCTCCTGGGCAGCTGCTTTTCCCTGGCGATTCTCCCAGGTAAGGAAGGATTGAGTCTCTGACACTGGTCTAGAGGGCCTAAGTGTGAGGCCTTCCAAAGAAACCAGATGCAGCTGCAGAGGACCAAGGGATGAAAGGGAAGGAATGCCCTGGCCAGAGAACAGTAGCTGGAACCTAGCAGGGTGAAGGGAACTGAGCACCCTGTGCTGCCACAACCTGGGAAGCCCCCCCACCACCACACAAGCCTAGAGGCTTGGAGCAGCAGAGTTGGTTGTTGGTGGCAGTTAAGTGGCATTTCCTTAAAAGTCAGATACAATTATGAGATTTATTTTCTTAGGTGTAGGAATTTTACTACATGTCTATAAAATTATTCCTTTTCAAGTTTCTCAAGAGAATAGCAGCCCTCATTTTTCTTCAAAGTATATATATTCAGCCAAGCCTTAAATCAGGACTTACTGTTAGGTGCAGGACAGGCTGAGTAAACTGTCTGCAGGGCATACCAAACAAAGTTAGCTGCAGGATGACCTGGCCACTCAAACCCTCTGTCTGGTTCTTTATCAACTATTTGCTTCAAGCCCAAACACCCAAGCCCCCGCTCAAGGCTGAACACTCAACCCCCCTGCTCAAGGCCGAACACATAACCCCCCTTGTGCCAACAAGGCAGCTTGCAGACCCAGAGACCTCATTAGATTTGGGCTATAAAAACTCTCTCCTAAAAAGATTAACATTAAACAGGGACAAGAGGTCGGAGGGAAAGGGAGAGAGAAGGGAAATTGCATGGAAATGGAAGGAGACCCTCATTGTTATACAAAATTACATATAAGAGGATGTGAGGGGAAAGGGAAAAAAAATAAGGGAGAGAAATGAATTACAGTAGATGGGGTAGAGAGAGAAGATGGGAGGGGAGGGGAGGGGGGGATAGTAGAGGATAGGAAAGATAGCAGAATACAACAGTCTCTAGTATGGCAGTATGTAAAAACGTGGATGTGTAACCGATGTGATTCTGCAGTCTGTATACGGGGTAAAAATGGGAGTTCATAACCCACTTGAATCAAATGTATGAAATATGATATGTCAAGAGCTTTGTAATGTTTTGAACAACCAATAAAAAAACAAAAACTTGGCCCCTCTCTCTCTTGCACTCTCTCTCTCTCTCTCTCTCTCTCTCTCTCTCTCTCTCTTTCACTCTCTCTTCTCTTTCTCTCTTTTCTCCTCTGTTGCACTGCTGTAATAAAGATCTCTTGGTTGCTCTGAGTGTTGTGGTCATTTTTCTTTCACTTACCAGTGTGTTATACATCTGCTAACAGTTTGCAATGAAAATGCAGTGCAGTGAAAATTCACTAAGCTGTGTCTCCTTCCCTCCCCCAGAAGTGTTCATTTTTTGTGTTTGCTTTTTATTTTTGACTGATCTTAAGCCAATCCGTTCTTCTTATAAAATATCTAATTTTCAGGAACATAGTTTTGTAAATACACTAGATCTGCTCTTTGCAAGTTATCTTTCCCCCTTTCTTTTGTTTTTTCAATTGAACATCATGACCTGTCATCTTTCCCTCTCGCTGCACCCTCAGGCCCTCACACACTGGGTCGCATGCCTGGGTTCAGGGTCCAGCACCTCCTGGGTGCTCAGTAAACATTTACAAACAAAATAAATGAACAATTTCAAGGTTCCTCAATGCTTTCCAAGTCCTTGCTCTCAATACTCCTTGCTCTCTGAGTGACCTGATGTAAGGATTGAGTTAATATCTATAAAGTACTCGGCACTGTGCTCGGCTTATAGTAGGTCCTTTTAAAAATATGTGTATCTAAAGTGAGCGGGGTATGATCGCGAGGTGCCCTGGCCTACTGAGAGCTCTTCTGGACATAGTCGTTCAAGAGCTCGGGTTGCAGAGCCAGATTCACCTGCCGGTTGCGGCGCCGCGTGCGAGTCCGGTGGCCACGAGGGGGCGGTGGCGCGCCACAGAGAGCGCCCGCAACTCCGGAGCTCCGGATCCTCCCGCCTAGGCGAGCTTGTTGGGCTTCCTCTCCTTTTTTCTTTCTTTTCTCCCTTCCCGCCTTTAATTCTGGAATTCTGGAATGTCACCTCCTCCTTCCTTTTCACCTGCTCTCAGCGGCCTCCATGCATGGATCTTGCACCAGAGAGGAAGAGATTTGGGGCACTTGGCAATAGCGAGGATGGGGGTCAGAGGCAGAAATAAAGACCCCCCCACAAAAAATATATATATGAACAAAAAGTTAAAAATAATAAATAAGGAGCCCTTCAATCCGTGGCTCCCCCAATATGGAGCCGCCCAGCAGCGCCACAAGCAAAGCATTCGTTCTTTCTCACAACTTTTTATTTTGAAAAAAAAATTGACGTTTTAAACTTGTACAATCAACAGGCACCTTTGTACTTTTTCATCTGGATTCACCTGTTGCCAGTGTGTTTTACCAGAATATTTCACACTCGTTTTATTTGCATTACTTTGGCTAAACCATTTGAGCATTGCACCCTGACTTCTCTTATGCAGTCATAATGCTATTCCGGCACCTAAGAAACTCAACATTGATATAATGCTGCTATCTCACAGTCACATATCCACATTTCCCCAATTGTCCCAATTACATCCTGTATAGTTGTGGTTTTGTTTTATTTGTGATCCAGCATCTGATCAATAATCACATCACATTTTTATAGCATTTTTGAAGGCAAGTTGTCTTGTAGAGGATTCCATAATCTGAATTTGTTTTGTCTTATTTCTTGGTACCAGGGATTGAACCCAGGGACACTTTACCACTGAGCTACATGCCCAGCCCTTTTTCTTTTTTATTTTGATAAGGTCTCGATAAGTTGTCTGGCTGGCATTGAATTTGTGAATCTCCTGCTTCAACTTCTCAAGTAGCGATTTACAGGCATGTATCACCTGACTACTCTCTTATTCTTCATAATTATAATCAGGAAGACACTTTTGAGAAAAATATTATGTTGTCTGTTTCTCTGTTTCTCCCATAGAAATTGTCACCTTCTGACGTGTCATTGTGTTTACTCTTTGTCTCTTTCTGATGATTATGTAAACTCTGTGAGAACAGGGATTTTTCTCTGCTTTTATCCACTGCTGCATTTCTAACATGTCAAAGAAAACATGACACATTGTATTGGCACTTAATACATATTTATTGAATGAATGCATTTATCATCTATTATTGCATTGCAAATTACCACAAACATTTACTCTCTTTCTTGGGGCTCATGAATCTGGAGGTTGCTTAACTGGATGATTCAGGCCGTTTGTTCCATGAGGCTGTGATCCAACTGTTGACCAGAGCTGTAGCTGTCTCTAGGCTCTCTGGAGCTGCAGAACCCGGTTCCAAGTTCATTCACATTTTGTTGACAGACCTCAGCTCCTCACTGGCTATTGGCTGTCACAAGGGATTCCCCACAAAGCTGCCTCACATCACGACAGCTGGTTTTCCCTGAAGTGATGAGTGAGAGGAAAAGAAAGAGAGAACACCCAAAACATAAGCCACAATCCTTTTATTACCTAATCACAAAAATGATATGTGTATATTGTTACAGAACAATGACCCCCAAGATGTCCATGTCCTACTCCCCAGAACCTGTGAATATGCTACTCTACACGAAAGGACTTGCAGGTGTGACTCAGGATTTTGAAATGGGAACAGTGTCATGAATTGCCCAGGTGGCCCAGTGTAACCAAAAGCATTCTTTTAAGGGGAAAAAAGGAAGAGCCCAGGACAGTCAGAGAATCTGGAGGTTGCTTAGCTGGGTGAGAGTCAGAGAGTCAGCCCAGGACAGAGAGTCAACCCAGGACAGTCAGAGAACCAGCAGTTAAAAAGGGAGCTGTAGAGATGGGAATGGAGGTTGGAGTGACGCACTTTGAAGTAGGAGGAAGAGATCACGTGACAAGGAATGCAGGCAGCCACTAGAAGCCTGAACAGCCAAGATTTTCCCCAGGAGCCTCCCAAAGGAACACAACCCTGCTGGCACCTTAATTTCTGCTCAGTAGGACCCATTTAGATGTCTGGTCCCCAGAACAGCAAAATATTACATTTGTGTTGCCTTAAACCACTAAGATTGTGGTAATTTGTTACAGTAACAATAGGAAATGAATACACTATCACCTTTGTGATGTCATGTTAGTGAGGAGGGAGTCACTAAGTCCAGCCCACATTTCTAGAATGTGAATAACAGAGCACATGATTATTAGGGCTATTTCAGAAGGTGCCTATCAGTGAATTAATTATTATTATTAACCCCACTTTACAGGACTCAGAGGAGTGAAATAATGTACTTGAGATCATACAGCTAATAATGATAGAGCCACTTCCATCTGATAGAATAAATTCCAAACTCCTTTCATAAGTAGATACAAAGACCTACCGGATCCGGGTTCCACCTCATTCCCTAATCTTAAACATGCCAAGCCTATTCTTTTTCACCTGCTCCTTCCTCTCCACTGGGCTGCCACCACAACCTTCAGGTCTCAGTTCAAATGCAAGTCTTCCCTGACCACCACTAATAAATACAGTGACTTTCAGATGTTTACCATCTGATATCTGTTTTCACTTCTCCTGGTGTCTATTCCCACTCCTCCTATCACTTTTGAAGACAAGGGCTTTAACAGTTCTGTTCACAGCTATATCCCCACTACTGTACTAGCGCACAGTAGGTGTCCAATGAGTATTAGCTGAATGAATGAATGGCTGCACAGGGATATAACACAGTTACAAACAATTCAACTCACTTCTCTGGGTGTATTGAAATAACAATCCTTACCCGGAAGAGCTTATGAGAATTAAAAGATCAACAAGTCACCAGGCCTAAAGTAATATGATGTATTTTTAAAGAAATGAGAGTTTGATTCTCTCATTATCAGCAGGCTAGACCTGGGGGCATTTGCAGGGCTCCGCATTCTGAGAGCCCTTTGTCTCCAGAGAGGGAAGAAGGCTGGCAGGAGGGTGGGCAACCCACCAGCACTGTTTGGGTAATAACTGACCATTTTCTTCCCAGACTGGTTCTGCTGGTCCCCACGCCCCTTCCCACAGGCAAAAACCTCCTCAGGACCTGATTCTGCAGGTCAACCATGAATTTAATGAGAATATGCCAGACAGAGAAAGCCAGCTCAGCTAGGGAGACTGGGCTTTTTTGTGATCTTGGACAAGGAACCCATTTTCTCTGTGTGCGTGTGTGTGCGTGTGCTTGTGTGTGTGTGTGTGTGTGTTGGGGACTGGAAATAACTTGGGTATAGTTCACAGCCTTTGTTTTTTGGTTGTTACTTTTTATAATACTGGGGATTGAACCCAGGGATATTCTACACTCTACACTGAGCTCCATCCCCACCTCTTTTTATTTTTTTATTTTGAGACAGGGTCTCTATTGCCCAAGCTGGCCTGGAAATTGTGATCTCCTGCCTTGGCCTCTAAGTAGCTGGAATGACAGGCATGTGCCACCTCATCGGGTTCACAGTCCACTCTTATAATTAGTTTGTGCCAGGCTCCTCCCTGGCTTCATATATTCACTCATTCATTCTTTTCTTTTTATCCTTATCTCTCCTTCCCATTTCCCTCCTCCTCCACTCTATTTAATGAAGACCTAGTTTGTATGCAGTTTTGTCAAATGCAAATTATTGGGTTTAAAAAATTTTTTTTAGTTGTAGTTGTACACAATACCTTTATTTTTATTTACTTTTATTCGGTGCTGAGAATCGAACCTAGCGCCTCGCACATGCTAGGCGGGCGCTTTATTGCTGAGCCACAACCCCAGTGCATGAAGTATTGTTTTGTATAAATGTATAAATGTGAGTCTTTTTTTTTTTTTTTTTTGGTACCAGGGATTGAACTAAGAGGCACTAAACCACTGAGCCACATCCCCAGCCCTTTTTTTTAATATATATTTTACTTAGAGTCAGGGTCTTGCTGAGTTGCTTGGGGCCTCACTAAGTTGCTGAGGCTGGCTTTGAATTCGTAATCCTCCTGCCTTAGTCTCCCGAGCCACCGAGATTACAGGCATGTGCACTGCACCCAGCTGATTTTACTTTTTTAATTAAGAGGCATCTTGCTATAGATCAGATTCTGTCTCTTACTGCGGTAGCCAGCCTCCCAGATGCCCCCCACACGCTGGGTAGATCTCCTGGTAGTCAAATCTTTGAGTAGTCTCTTCTGTGATGGATTAAATGTTTATGTCCACAAAATTCAGAGCCCTAATCCCCAGTGTGATGCTGTTTGGAAGCGGAGCCTTTGGGAAGTGATTAGGTTTTAGAAGAGTTCATGGGGATAGGATCCAATGATGCAATTAGAGCCTTTAAAGGAAGAGATTCAAGGGTTCACTTTCCCCATGCATGCACCAGGGAGAGGCTGTGCGAGCACACAGTGAGATGGTGGCCTCCTACAGGCCAAGAAGCCTGAGAATGAAACCTACCTCACTGATTTTTGAACTTCCCAGTCTCCAAAACAGTAAGTCTCCAAAACACCCTGTCTATGAGATTTTGTTATGGCAGCCCAAGCAGGCTAAGACACCAGTCCTATAGTGAACACAGCTGATCCTAATCAACCTGTGGGCTATTGCAGGGATAGTGGTATGTGATTTTTCCAGGTCTAGGTGGTAAAAGGCATCGTAATCTCCTGTTCTCTCTTGGATCAGCCACACTAGGGAAAGCCAGCTGCCATGTCACAAAGACACTCCAGCAGCCCTCTGGAGAGGTCTAAGAGGAAGTGAGGCCTCCCACCATCAGCAAGCACTTGGCAGCCACATAGGTGAATTCTCTAGCCTGAGACATTTTAACTGCAACCTCTGATAGATGCCAGGCTAGAACCATCCAGTCAAGCCACTCCCGATTTCCTGACTCATAGAAACTAAATGAGAAATGTTTGTTTTTATTTTAAGTCATTGTATTTGGGGATAATGTGTTACAGGGCAACAAATAATAGATACATTTATTTTTTCATTCAGCTGTACAGCTTGTAGACCTATCCCAGTCTCTGCATGTTTGTGTAACTCAGGAATCAGCAGAGGTCTACTGTAAAGAGCTAGATAGCACATATTTTAGACTTTGCAGGCCACATGGTCTCTGTTGCAACAACAGAACATAAAAGCAGCTGCAGACAATAAAGGGAAGGAACATGTTAGTGTTCTAATATAATTTTGTGGGTGTTGAAATTTGAATTTCATATAATTTTCATGTGTCACAAAATAATTTTAGGATTCCCCACCCCTGACCATTTAAAAATGTAAAAATCATCCTCAGATCATGAGCCAAGTTGTGAAAAAACAGGGGGTGGGTCAAATTTAGCATACAGGCTTTAGTTGATTGATCGCTGACATATCTCATTGTTATGAGCAGCTACATAATCATTCCATAAAGTGCTTTTGCCGTATTTGCATAGCTATTCTCCTGTGAGGGGCATCCAGTTATCTGCCATCCTCCACTACCATAGACAATAGCTTCAGTGAACACTCTTGGCTGTGTGGGAAGGTTCTGGCATATGTGCCCCGGAGTGGAGATTGCTAGGTCTCATGGTATGGCACTACCCTCCCCAGTGTGTCATGGGAGCTCCTCCTTCCTCACACTCAACCAACACTTGGTGTTACCCAACTTCCTAATTTTTGCCAATCTTGTGAATTGATGTCTCCCTGTTTTAGTTTGTATTTCCTTAGTAACTAATGAATGTGGATATTGTTTTTGACTTTTTTTTTTTTTTTTTGGTTTTTTTATTATCAGGGATTGAACCCAGGGAGCCACAGCCCTTTTTTTTTTTTGAGACAGGACCTCTCTACATTGCTGAGACTGACCTCAAATTTGCAATCCACCTGCCTCAGCCTCTCAAGCTGCTGGGATTACAGGCATGCACCATTACAGCCAGCTTGGATATCTTTTGGGTGCCTAACTCCTATAAACTATTTTTTAGTGATTTAAAGCCACTCAGTTTTCACACAACTTCATGAGCCAGTACTGTTGTGACCATTTCCCAGGTGAAGAAACTGAGGACGGAGGTGCCCAAAGTCACACAGATGACCGAGGGAATCACTAAACCATAGCACGCCTGCTATTGTTACTTTTTTTAAAAAAATATTTTTTAGTTGTCAATGGACCATTATTTTGTTTATTTATTTTTATGTGGTGCTAAGAATCGAACCCAGTGCCTCACACATGCTAGGCAAGCACTCGACCACTGAGCCACAACCCCAGCCCTGTTGTTACTTTTTAATAGTTCTGTTCAGGTATAATTCTTGTAGCACACCTGAAGTGTGCAATTCAGCAGGTGTTAGTATACTCTCAGTATACTAACATATAGTATAGTCATAGTATACTAACATATAGTATAGTCCTCTATCACCACAAGCAATTTCAGGACATTTTTATATTCCAAAGAAACCCTATATTCCTTAGTGATCACCCCCCAGTCACTAAGGAATATAGGGTTTCTCATCTACTTTATGTCTCTACAGACTTTCT